GCAGCTGGGTCTGGGACTTGAACAGCGGTCGACTACATGGGAATCCAGCGACATAGCCATTAGCCAACTGCTGATCCCTTGGCTAAACTCTTCGTGCACATTAACTCATTTAAACTTCATGACTACCTTAGCAGGCAGTACTATTATGACTTCCATTTAACATGTGATCAGATTATACACCACAGATCCAACATGGTAAAGTCACTTGATCAAAGACTCAGGGCTTCCACTGCCAAGGTAGTACTTACCTAGGGAGGACAGAATTCGGTGGCCTGGACTTAGCAGGAGAGGCGACTTTCTGTTCTGGCCCAGAGCTCCCTGAAGATCCTGGCAGAGAATCCTGTACCAGCCCAGATTGGTTTGGAAGTATGTCCCTTGTTGAAGTCAGGAGATGCTCTTTATCTTTAACTTCTTTTTCCCGGGACTTGGCTTTGTGTTCTGCCAGGAGGAGGTCAAATTGCTTTTTCCGGCCTGGGACTGCCCTCCGATGGCTTAGCGAATGTGTCTAAGGAGAAGAGAAATGAAAAGCACAGCCTCTTTGATCAGCACATAAACCTGCTTCCCCAGGCCCTCCATTTCAGAGCAATTCACGGGAATTTAGCGGTGCTTGAAAAGTCAACTTCAAGGCAACGGCTCCTGTTCTGTGGCTTGGAAGATGCAGAGACCACATGAATACAACCATGCCCTATACTCCTGGTGTCGAGAAGCCAAAGCTTCCTCCAAAAAATGGCATAAGATGACGAGCTGCAGCGCAGAACCCATGAAAACCTCTCTGATGACAGGCAACCGCGAGGGAGTGCTAGAGTTAATCCAGGTGCAGGTGGGAGGCTCGATTTGGCCCAGACAAACAGTGCCACCAAGCAGAGAGAGCCATAGCCTCGATCCCAAGAAGCACTTGCAGTTCAGTATGAAATGCAGGGCTTGGGGCTACCCAACGGCGGCTGCCTTGGGTCAGCTGCCCCCTGGCCACCCCGGTGTGGCTGGATCAGGGGCGCGGCATATCATCCTCCCCTCCAGGGCTGCCTTTCAGGGCGCTGCCGCCGCCGCCGCTGCTGCTCCTGCATACATTAAAACGTAGCAGGCTTTAGAACTGCCTGTGAGTGCCTATAAATACAATTTACTGTCTGGCCTCACAAGTAACAGGGGAAGCCTAGTTTTTTTTTTTTTTTTCCTTCTTAAAAAGCCAGCCAGCTCGAGGCAGGCACTCTGCTACCATGGACAAGAAGAAAGCATTTCCCTTACAAAGAACAGCTGGGGGTCATGTCGAGGTTCCACACCCTGCCGTGTGCAGAGAGTGGCATGCAAACATTTCGACAAAGGCCCCAGCAAGAGCAGGAAGTATTTTTTATGGAAAGAGAAATACCTTGCAGGTGAGGGATCTTGTGCAAGGTTTCTTTGTCTCGGGATCCAATACTCCACAGTGTTTATTTGGGTCAAATTCTCTCTCTGGTTTAAGAAACAAACAAAAAATATAAGAAAAAAAGGAGACTAAATAGGATTTGGCATTAAGACTACATTAAAAAAAATGCACATTTGCACCAACAAGTGAGACATTGTCAGGCAATCTGTTTTTTTTTTTTTTTTTTTTTAAACCGGCTGCTATAATGCTTCAAGAACCGCTCAGACGAAAATGGTGCTCCCCTCTGAACCCAGAGTTCCCAAGTCCAGCTTCATAGGGGTGCAGAAGAGAAGGTAACACAGGCTTGGGGAAGAGGGCAGGAGCTGGGCTGCTCTGAACGCTTCATTGTACTTGGAACTGTTCCATGGGTCCTCAGTGCTTGGGCATAGCTGACTGCGAGCCAGAGAGGGCCACCTGAGGCCCAAGGGCCACTTTCCCTCCAGACTGCTCTGAGTACAAGCACCCTGCCCTGCCCCTGCCTTCCTGCTGGTTTTAGTCATTTCGGTGGGAGATTACTCCTTGACATGTCGGTGTGACCTGCCTCTCTCTCTCATGCTTTACAAAGCCCTCGGCACAGATTTTTCCACACAGCCTTGCTGCCCAGAAAAATCACTTCTCTGATTCAGGGGCATTCTGGCCTTGTCACAGGCAGGGATGGGGAGTCTGGGTGGGTGCCTATGAGTGGCTGAACTTGAGGCAGCGCAGAGGGCAGGGCCTGCTAGTCTCGCAGCTTGCTCTGCTCCTGGGGATGAGGGATAGCTGTGGGCGAGGCCAGGCTTTCCCTGGTTCCCGGTCTGACTGTGGATGGCTTGTGTGGAGGTTAAGTCGAAGCAACGTGTTCTTTTTTTCTTTTCTTTATTCATGATAGAGTGTGTACATGTGCACAAGAGAGAAAGAAAGAGAGAGAGAGAGAGAGAGCGCAAGACAGAGAAGCAAACTTCATGGGGTCTGGGCATGCTGTGATCCTCCATTTCTAGTTCTCCAGCCCTTTGGGTCCTGGGTGTGTGCCCAGTGTGTTTCAGGTTGAGTGGGCTGGGGATTCAAGCTGTGGTCGTTGCGTGGGATTGCCCTTTCTTTTTATTTATTTATTTATTTATTTGGAGAGATTTTTGCTATAGGGTGTGTGCCCTCACTGGGGGGGGGGACAGACAGACAGACAGAAAATGAGAAATCAACCCCAAGGGGGATAGCCATGCTGCAGTCCCTTCTCCATTATCCTCTCAGGATCTTGGGCATACATGCACATGCACCTGGTGTGAGATTTAAGTCGCTGACTGTGGGTCAACTACATGGGAGCCCAGTGATGTAACCACTGCGCCATCTGCTGGTCCCTTGGAATTGGCTTTTTTTTTTTGGCAGATGGCTTTACCATTGAGACACAGAGCTGGCGCTATGCAACCTGTTCTTGTTCTGCCCATTTTGGATCCTTTGCCCCTTCTGAGGTGACAAAATGCTCTCCTCACCTGGACAATGAGGGCAGGAAGGCAATTTCTTAAGGCCCCTTTACATTTTGAAGTCCCATACCTCAGGGGCCTGTGCCATTTCTGGAAGGCACCCAGCAAACACATGGGTCCCGCACAGCAGGAACGACAGTCTCTGGGTATGAGGAGATGTTATGACAGTGTATAGAAATTTGGTGGAGTGTCCTTCAGGGCCTTGAGAGGCTGCAAACTCAAAAGAAGGTAACTACCTGGAAAACTGCCTGAAACTGATGGAGTAAACCCCGAGTAAAATAAATGAATGTTTTCCACTTTCCAGAGATGGTTTTCGGGGGTCGGGGGAAGTCATGGCAATGGTGCTGATCATGTGTGTAAGAAAGGCATTTTCAGACCCTACATGGATTCTCCGGCTGGCTGTCTAAATAACTCCATTCCCTTTTTTGTCTTTTGTCCCCCTTTCAAAATGTTTTTTCAGCTTTGCTTTTAAGAAAAATTGCTAGGCCCAAAGCAGTTTTCCTCAGTCTTCTCTACCCAGCAAGAAGCAAGTGCCAGGGCCCCGGATCCCAAGCTGCTGTGGGGAGATCTTTCTTTGGGGTCTCTCAGTGCCAGGCCTGTGCCCATGTCCATGCCAGCACCCCATGTTGGATTGGACCTGAGCAGGATGTTGGCTAGGGGATAGTTTCTGGCTGCCAAAGTGAAAGCAAGGAAGAAATGAGCAAAAGACCCAATGAGACAAGACAACTAACAAAGTGCAGAAACGACACACAGCAAAAAATGTCCGGACAACTTCAGGTTGCAGGCCGTTAGTCCAGCTCCTGCTTCTGCTGCAGGAAGGAACCTATGGCTTTTGGCTTCTGGACACTGTGCCCAGTCTACTGGTGTTTCCAGGGACGTTACCACCCAGTCCGCAGAGAATCTGAACTATCTTTCAGGAAGAGAGGGGGCTCCAGCCCACAAAGTGAGGTCCCACAATGCTCAAGAAAGCACCAGGCTCCACTGCTCTCTCTTGATAGTGGGTGACAAGCACATGGCGAGGTCTGTGGGGTACAATACCGGCCTCATTTGGAAGCATTGGGCCTGATGTACTTTTCAGACATTAGTGTTCTGGAAGAGTTATGGAGATAAGACAGAAAAACTAGAAATACAGATACACATGAAGTAGAGAAAGTAAAAGTTATCCACAATTCCTTAGGTGCTTAGAAATCATATTCTAGTAGAGAATACAGTTTCTCTCTCATAACAGGGGGGCTTTCCCTGTACTGTGTTTATTCTGGCCACCATGAGATAGCGCTCACAGTGTGTGAAGTTATGAAGTTTATGGCTTTTCCTGGTCTTGGGAGAAAGCGGAACTGCTAGACTTAGCTCTACAACGGATCCCAAGCAAACAGCATCACACAGGGAGTGCTAACGGGGGCAAGATCACGTCAAAGAATGGCCAGGTGTGCTTTTGTGGTTACCCCACATGCCTGCTCAGACAACCAAGGAGCAGACCCAAGAGAGATCTCCCCACAACTCGCCTGCTGTGCCAGCCCTAGCACTCCCAGTTGGGAATTCCAACCTGATTGTCAGAGAAAGGCATTTGCAGCTCCAACTGCAGAGTCAACCTGGACACTCTTGAGGCCGGAGGACAGAGGCTGTGTCTCCCTGTGCAGCACAGTTGCCGACGGGGCTGTCCCTCACATGCCTTGAACTGTTGCGAGATATCCTCGTGGGCTGTCCAGCTGCAGAGCAGGGAAGCTATGATGGAGGCCAGGGGCAGTTCAGCTGTCAGCATGATATGGCTACACAGAACCACCTGCTATCAAGGCCCTGGGAACCCACGGACTGTCAGGTTGGCGTAGAGCATCCTGGCTCCCAGGCTGTAGGGTCACTCCCGCTAAGCACGGAACTGAGAGAGGGAATAAGAGACCCCGTTCTTCCTTGTGTTTTTAGCTGGGACTCCTGTTTGCAGATAAACTCCATGTTCCCCTTCAAATGAAACAGACCTGCTTACTTATAAGTGCATATTCTTCTTTGGTTACGAACACGACTCGGTTTCCGTCTTAGGAACGAGCCAGCCTCTGATGACACTGACACATACCTGAAAGTCTCCTGTAAGGCTTATTGCTGTTTTTGGTGCCATTTTGGTGTTTCCTGTCTATGGTGGCTGCCAAAATTCCTTTGCCATTTAAGATCTTCTCTGGTGAAGGTGGCACTGACTTGGACATCAAGACCGGCTTAATTAAAGGTGGGGTGGAGATGGCAGAGGACGAGGTGGAGGAGGCGGCGACTGCAGTAGTGGTTGTAGAGTTCATTTTGACATTGGCACCATCTGCCTTCACTAGGTTAGGAATTTTCTCTAAACTGACTACAGGAACCGGAACGCTGAAAAATAAATGAACAAACACACACAATTGCCTTCTTTGATACATCTGGTCTACCGAGGAGCTGCACCCGCTTATCATTACCAGAACACTTCCTTATCACTTATTTATACTTCTCCTACAAGAGAGCAGCATGATTCCAATTTTGATGGGAGGGAGATTTGTGCCTTGGAAAGGATCAACAGGGATGTGAGGCTGGCACTGCGCCAGGGATGGCATCAGAGCCGCCTGTCGCCTCCTGTGCTGGTGGTGCCCACAGAGCCTGCAACATGCCCCCCTTCTCGGGCCCTGCATGTTGGCTGTCTCCCACACAGCGCTGTGAGCAGGACAAGGTACCTGCAGTGAGGCTCAGGAAGAGATGCCATTTGTCCTCGGAAGACAGTGTGCACTGCTGAATCACGCCCCTCCCCCACGCTCAGCCAGACTCCCACCCCGGCCCCATCGGGCCTGACATCTGCTTAGCTCCAGAGTGCTGACAGGATCACACCACAAGGAGGCATGGCTTCGGGCCAGCCTGCCACACTCCATGCTGTCGGAGGGCTTCTGGATCACGTTCACATCCTGGGGATGGGCTCAAATTGAGTGAGCCGCCATGTAACATTATCCAATATTCCATTTTAGGCAGCTAGTTATGTAAATAGGCAGTTCTCAAGGTTGGCAGGTGAGAGGATGAATTTTAAGAAGGCAGAGCACAAAGGTGTGCATTCACTCTTCAGAATCTGCCACCTTAGCCCTACTTCCCCGCTATTTCTCCTGTAATGGATGTGCATTTGATTCCTGCGGCTCTTTAATGCTGCAGGACCCTGTGTCTAGGGACCGTGGAGGACTCTGTCTCAGGGTCTTAAAAGATAAGATGAATAAGCTTTGCTTTGGTCCCTGAGCTAGATTTCCTTCCCTTCTGGCGGGAGGGTAGAATGCTAACACTTCAACTCCCCAATCATCTTTGAGCTGAGAGTGGAGCCTACTTAGCTATTTGAATGCCAGATGATCTAGAATATGGCTTTTACATGCCTGCAGACAATGTAGGACATGAAAGAGAGGCTGGTGTTGCCGGGGG